TTGCGAATCCTCTCCTCAAGGGTGCCATTTCTCCTCCCTCCCCCCCCCCCCCCCCCCCCCCAGCTGTTCGTCCTGTGCCACGGCCTCCTGCAGTTCTCTCAGCTGCTGTACAGCTCGTACTTCAAGAGTACCATCACCACCATCGAGAGGCGCTACGGCCTGAACAGCTACTCCTCTGGAACCATTTCCTCTCTCCACGAGGTGCGAGCCAACAAAAACATACCCACACACAGCGTGAGATCCCAATCTCTTTCGAGGAGACCGATGACAAAGGAGGAATTGCAGAATAAGCAACCTGTCAAGGATTATACCTCCTTACTGTTCAAGCAGGACGTATTTTGGAGCAGTTTTATTGCTGACATGGGGGTCAGGGGTAATGAGAGAAGGTTCTATACGCGCTAGTCGTAAATCAGGCCCGATTTTTTTTTTTTTTTTACCCATATGTGAGATCTGAATGCATCCCACGGATAACATGTTTTCCACTTTATTAGGTCTCAGGTATCCGGAGCGAGACTGGTCATCACAGTCATCGACAAATCATCGGTTCACATTTAGACATTTTTAATGTCTGGCGAGAACAGACGCGCAATAAAACAATAGCTTCGCTTAGTGGTTTCACTTTCTTTCGGAATTTAATTAACTTTACATGAGGTGCTGGTAGTTATTTTTACTCGTATCTGAGTGAAACGGCGTCGAGAGAAATTCCAGTGTTTGAATGTGCTCTGAATACTGAAGTAGTTGACAAAACGGAGAGCGCTAGCAAATATAAAAGGGTTCAGCTAGTAGTGGTGGAGCAGGTGATGAAGCTTCATATTACGAGAAACAGAACATGTCACTCTAATTGTCCAGTAGAGTTTAAACCAAGCGGTGTCAAACATAAGGCCTGCGGGCCAAAGTTGGCCCACTTGGGATTTCATTCTGGCCCTCAAAAAAAAAAAACAAAAAAAAATACTTCATGTTTAGGAAACGTTTTGGAAAATTATAGTGTGTTAAATATGAAGATTTATCTAATGTGCTTTTTCGCATGAAAACAAAGGAAAAAAAGTTATTTGACAGGGAAAATAACAATGAAAAAGTCATGGGTATGATGTGTTGATTTAGATTTTGGTGCTAGATTCCATGTAGAGTACTGGTTCCCAATAATTAAATCAGGATCTACCAGTGGATCCATAAGGAGTGCTAGTTAGATCACAAGCAATTAAATATAAAAAAATATAAATTAAGTAATTAATTTATAGAAATTAAAATATTCTTGTTCTTATGAAAATATATATTAAATATAAATATATAATTTTAGAGTGTGCACTATTGACTATACTGTAAGAATAAACTCATATTGTGCCATACAGTGACATGGATTTATGTAATATTCCCAAGTATAATGTATATATAAAGTATGTTTAGTTTATATGAGTAATAAATATATATTTACTGATTTCAATATAGGTTAGATCAGTGTTTCCCAAACCTTTTTTTCTGGGCACCCATATTTTAAAAGTCACAAACCTTTGCGACTCATTGCGACCCAATCGATTATTCGTAAACACCTGGGAAACATGATGCGAGACGACCCCCCAAAAAAATTCTTGTGACCCACCTGAGGGTCGCGACCCAGTCTTTGGGAAAAAAAGGGTTAGCTTATTTAAGCCTGGTCATATGAGTGGTAGCTCCCAGGTCAAAAAAAAAAGTACAGTATTTTCGCATTTGACTTTAAGGCTAGTAACCAAAACATGTATGTAATGTTAATATTGTTTTTATTTATATCACTGCATATTAATTCTTGTTCTTATGAAAATATATATTTTCCCGCTGAACTGCATCCCGTCTAACACTTGTGTCGGTCCCACAGATCAGCAACAGCGTCCTCATCGTGTTCGTGAGCTACTTTGGAAATCGAGTTCATCGCCCCCGTGTCATCGGAGTCGGCGGATTATTGATGGCTGTCAGCGCCTTGCTCCTGACCCTACCTCACTTCCTGTCCCAGCCCTACCAATACAACTCAGTATTACACAGTAAGGCGAAGCACTAAACGCAAACGAGTCACAACGGCTCCACTGTTTTCCTCCGGCGCTCCGGTGACAACTAGTGTGACTCGGTTCAGGGTAGGGGGGGACTCGTAAATGTTAAAATGTTTCAAGGCAAATTTATGAGACTTTACTTTAAGGTACGTCTGCAGCCGCAGTCGGCAGGGGTAAAAACCCATATCTGGTGTGGGGCTCAATGGGGTATTTAGGAATTATGCTGGGCCTCTCTTTACATAAATCTGTCTGAGCATTAACGGAGAGCTAAGTAGGGTAGAATTACCAACCTGGACTTCTTTATATAATAACTTTATATAATAACTAACTCCAAAAAGTCAAAAAACCACAGTGTCTTAAGGTGGTCATTTATTTATCTTAGAAGTTGCAGGAAATTAAAGCAGTGGAGTTCTGTGATCCACTGCCTCATCTTCAACTCCATTGCCCCCCCCCCATCCCGTCCCTCCCCTCCCCTCCTTCTACTTTTATCCAGGTTGCCAAGACATTTGCAACGCGCAGCGAAACTCAAGTGACTCCGTGTCATGCGGCCGCGACGAGAGCCGGCGTCTGACCGACACCAACAACCTGTGGATGCTCATGGCCACCGCTCAGCTGCTGTTCGGTCTGGGCTCAGTGCCCATCCAGCCCTTTGGGATTTCTTATATTGATGATTTCGCAAGACCTGGAAACTCCCCTGTGTACATAGGTGAACGGCCTGCGAAAAACTCAACGTCCTCATGATATGCTAATCCTGAAAAACATTGTAAAGGTAGACAGGATGGAGGGCTTTTCTTTGTAAATGCTAACACTTAACACTCCTTAAGTATCTATCTATCAATCCATCCATCCATCCATCCATCCATCCATCCATCCATCCAACACGTGTTTTAAGACCAATTTTAATATTCTGCTCATTCCATATTAGTTTGCTAATAAA